CTGTTTTGGTCACAAATCCAAAGCATAGCACTATACCAGCGACTATGAAGAAAATTAACTCTATCCCAGCCAAAACCAGCGCAATATATATTTATATATAAATTATTACATGGAAGTTAGTAGGGCACACCATAACCTCGGAAGAGGGTAAAAATCTGGACTTAGTTCCTCATCTCATAACTCCTTCTTAAAACTGTAAGATACCGAGGTCCATAATGGGGCCATCTGACTTACGTAAAAATAAAGGGGTGCCAGAAGTTGATGGGTAGAGGGTTATATGACATCATGTAACTTTATATGAGTATATGGTTGGGGTTTTTTCTACCCATAGACATGGGGGAAGAAGACAGATACTTTTTTTTTTCTCGTTATGACCACTGGATTTAGCAATAGGCAGCATTTCCTACTGATTATTTCTTTTGGGGAACGAAGGGTACGTCACGTTTTATTTAGATAAAGGTAGCTTGTACCAAGGGCTTCTTTTTTGATACATTGCATCTTGAAAAGAAAACTTTAAAGTTGTTTATCTGCATGCTTTAACAATTGTAACTAAACATTTTGTACATGATACAGCTGTGTGCTTTTTATTAAGTCTTTCTAGCCCTCGATTACTTGTTTTTTCTGGTGAATGTATTTGGTAGAGCACAGATTAAAAAAAACCAAACCACCTAATCTGTCATAATTAAGTTTTAATTTTCTTATATAAATACTTCAGGGTAACCAAATCTTTTTTTTTCCTCCCTTAATTAACAGAGGAGGAGCTCAGGAAGCTGAGAGAAGAAACAAACGCTGAAACGTTAAGGCAGGAGCTAGAAAAGGAACGGCAGAGGAGATTAGAACTAGAACAAAAAGTCAATGAAGTACTTAAAGCAAGGTAAGAGAAATATCTTCACTGTGAATCTGAAAGCCACTGACTGTCTCCGAGTTCTGGTGAAAGCATCCATTTCCAGCCTAGGCTCTCTTAAAATAAACTAGTAGCTCACAGTGGGAGAAGCTGTCTATGTTATCCTGTAAAAGTACATCTTGTACACTTGGGTACACCTGAATTACTTGATCATACATACTGCCCTTACTACAGAGGTGTCCTGACACTTGTCTAGTTGGGATATTCTTCATGTTCTCTGATGTCCTTCCTCTGGGATCTCACCTACCTGGAACTATCAGCATGCACTCTGTGCTACTGAATGCCAGACCCTTTGCCATGCCATTGCATATGCTCTGCCTCTTCAAAACCAGTGTCATCTCCAGACTGCTCAGTCCTTGTTACTCCTGTTCTAGCAGCAGCAAGGACATCCCAGTACCACAACACAACCCTAAGTGTCTGGGAGTGACTGGAGTTTGAGCCCTCCTTGCCAACTGCAATGACAAATGGAAACATTTGGAACTATATCCCGAACTCCTTTCAGCCTTGAGGACACCCACCTTCATGATGCAAAGCATCACATTTGATGTTGTCTCTCTTTAGTCTGCCTAGTTGCATGGACTTTAAATCTTAAGACCATAGCAGCTGCTTGGTGGCCTTGCTGGTCTAGGCCACCTGCATATGTAGCTGCCTGTATTATCTTCCTCAGCAGCAGCTAAGATTATTTGGCTGAGCAGTAGGATCTGGTTCAGCATCAACTTCTGTCATCAGGAGATAGTGCAGGCTGAGTTGATAATCTTGTGTGATAAGCACTGCCAGTTACTTAGAGGTGACAAGCAAGAACAAACAAGCAAATCTTTTTGCTTGTATATGAGGTTTCCCAATGCCATATAAACTCTTCCCAGCCTGCTGCTTCCTTCTGTACTCTTCCTTAGTGTAAAAATGCCTTCCTAGTCAGGCCAGCAGTCCGTGACCACTGGTATTCTGTAGCAATGGAAATAGGAGCCATTTGTAGGAAATATGTGAGCCTACTTGTTTTCTGTGGTCTGTTTACCTCCTACTGCTAATAGAATCATAGAATCATTTAGGTTGGAAAAGACCTTTAAGATCAAGTCCAGCTGTATACCTAGCATTGCCAAGTCCACTGCTAAACCCAAGTGCCACATCTACATGTCTTTTCAATACCTCCAGGGGTGGTGACACAGCCACTACCCTGGGTAGCCTGTTCCAATGCTTGATAACCCTTTCAGTGAAGAAAATTTTCCTAATATCTAATCTAAACCTCCCCTGGTGCAGCTTGAGGTCATTTCCTCTTGTCCTGTCACTTGTTACTTGGGAGAAGAGACCTACACCCACCTCGCTACAACCTTCTTTCAGGTAGGTGTAGAGAGTGATAAGGTCTTCCCTAAGCCTTCTGTTCTCTAGACTAAACAATCCCAGTTCCCTCAGTCACTCCTCATAAGCATCCACAAACACTATATTTAAGGGTATCAGAATGTATATTGCTGCCTTTTCATTTCAGTATCTGTTACTACGAATTCATTTAACCCCCTCTTGAAAATGCTGGAGCTATCTACCACTGGAAGCTATGGAAGCAATACGTTACAGAAGTCCACTTTTGACTGTAAAGAAGCAATTTATTTTCTTTCCTTTTTAACACATTTCTTAGTGGTTTCAAGAAATGTCCCACAGTTATAGAATTGTGCGATTTGGTGAATAAATGTTCAGCATTCAGCTTGTTTACCACCTTTGATCAGTCCTTTCCTGTCTTACTCTTCTCCAAACTGAAGAGTACTCCATCCCTTTCACCACTTCAGTTGCCATTCTTGAACTGTTGTGTCTTAAGATGAAAAGGCTGAGTTCATGCGGTATTCAACCTCTGGGTTCACCAAGGCCTTATACAGAAGATAAATTAGGCCTTCCCTCTTATCCTCAGCACCCAGTACAGTGGGGTTCTTTTGTCTGATGTTTCACACTGATGGTTTTCCAAAATTACTGGTTTTATGCAAGGTTGGTCCATGTGCAGTCTTGACCTGAGCTGCCAAGTTGCAAGTTTGAAAGGGGCTCTGTGAGGTCTTTGTGGAGGAATCTTGTTCCCAAGCCAGCCATGTGACCATGCAGTGGGAAGGTGATCTGGATGGCTCTGTTCTGGGGGGGGGGTTTGGTGATGTTTTACAGTTGCTCTTACAGCTGGGAAGTGGGAGTGCATTTTTATCACCTGGCTGGTGCTTGGTTTTATGCTGGCTGGCCTGGCTGTATGCACATGTATTTGCCGGGTTGAGTGGGCTACTCAAATGCCACTTTGTAGATCCATCTTTTGTAGATGCAAATTCCACCTGCTTGTCTTTGAGCACAGTACAGGTTATACCATTAACTCTGGCGTGGGCCTTTAGTCTTTGTCCCGAAAGCAGGTATGCCAGGGCTCTAGGTCACGTGCCAGAGAAGGAGGAGAGTGATCCCATCATTGCTGGGAGTCCCGGAGAAGGATGAGGAGCTGCCTTCCTGTACAGGAAGGTACCCATCATCCTGTCCTATTTCAGAGTAATGAGGGTGGCCCAGTGTCTGATGTGGCCCACTGCAACTTATGAATACATGTGTTTTACAGAAAAAAAAGTTTTAAGGTCTTTGTTTATCAATATTAATGTCAACATCTGTACATTGTTGGATTGTGGACAACAGCAAATCCCTGGCAGACGTGCCATTGCTAAATTAAGGTAGCATGACCTGTCTGCTTCAACGCTGTATTCCCATTTAGATATCCTAAGGATTACACTAGCCCTTTTAGCTTGGGTACTGCACTTGGGGATTACATTCAGCCAATTATTCCCTTTATCTAAGTTGCTTTCTAACTAGTCTTGCTAATATTCCGACCTTTTGGGGACAGTCAGGTATATGTAAGATGACAACAAAAAAAGGCTTTGAAGACTTTTCCCAGTTGCTACTCAGAATAAGAAGAATCAGGTTGCCTGTGGTTTTTCCTTAACTTGTGCTACGTTGCGTGAAATTCTTTTTCACTGCTTTTTGTCTTTTTGCACTTTTCTGTAGACATTTTAAAATACTTTTATTAGGACTACAGGTGAAGTGTTGGCTGACACAATCAAATACATAATAGCCCAAATTTATGCCTGATGGAAACTTAATTTTATTAAGCAAAGTTACCACAGAAAGTCATCTCTGCTTATGTCAACAAAGACAAATTTGCCCTGCTTCTCAGTTAGCTAATTTTTCATATAATCTTTAAATGGATAGGCATATAAACATGTTTGCATGTACTCTCCTTTTTGCTCACAGAAGTGAACTGCTAATGAAAACCAAATCATGCTGTGGTATAAGAAATTATTTTAATAGTTGGAGCATTCAAAAGTATTTGTGAAGTAGATCAGTACATGTAGCTATATAAATACATGCTGCGAAGTGTTCAGCAAGGAGAAAACATTGAGCTAACAATCTAGATTTATCTTTTTTGGGGTGAAGAACAGGGGCTTTTTTCATTTAATTGTTCACAGGGAGGAAGGAGGAGTAGAAGAGGGTATTTAGTAGTTTTGTTTGTCATGGTGTTCATTGTCTGTATGTCTGGGTATTCAGAAACATAGTGGCCTCAGCTGAAGTTTTCCATAGATGCACTTGGGACAGCCCAGCATTTGGTACAACAGCTGAAGCTTATGACATTTTGCTGGTGGAACAATGCATAAATTATTTGGAATAAGTCTGTGTGAGTGATGCTTGTTTAGTGTAAATTGTGGGCTGTTGCTTCCTTATTTTACAAATTGTGAGCTAGCTCTACTACACAGAAAAGAAAAAAAAATTAACAGAAAAAATGAAGTTTTGCAACAACACCTACTGACAAGCTGTGACTTATGCAAACCTTTTTATTAGTATCATTGTGAGCTATTTTTAGGAGGAGAAAATAGACAATGCTTCTGCATAAGCCACTATTCCTTCTGTACCTCTTATCTTGGTTAACGCTTCCTGGCCTCCTGTTAAATGACATTGTCTTCCACACATGCAATGTTTTGAGCATGGCTGAATTTGTCCATTGAGAAGATGCCTCAGCTTGAGATTGCTTTGGAGGCTGGAAGTGTTCCCTCCTGGAAGGATCCCTGTCAGGCTGTAACTCCACACAGGTAGCAAGAACCTAAGACCCAGGTCAAAACTTTCTCGCCTGGCTGCCATGCCATGCTGGGATTGCTGACACGCATACATCATTGCTGACATACTCAGTTGGCTGAACTTTGTGTGTGCCTTTATTTTTAACTTACTAGATTTGGTGACGGGCTGCTGCTTGTAAAGTAGCTCCTGTCAAGAGTTTATTTTTAATTCTTTTTTTTTCTGCCCATGACCATTTAGATGTTGCACAAGTTTGGGTTGATGATATTTCTTCTGAAACCTTTTATTTTGATTCTGAAACTACCAGTTTAGGACACTAGCCATGTAAAATGTGGGAGTATCTGGTGACAAGGAGAAAGGTTTCTGAAATGTTTGGTGTATTTTAATGGGAAGGAGATGCAAAATACATTAAAATGTTTTAACTCAGTTTTGTGACAGCTCCTCAGGCTAAGCAGCCATGTATACTCAAATCGTTAGTCTTTGAACTAGGCTGTGAAAATAACTCCTTTATGCTTATTTTTGCATTTCTGAGGTTGTAAGATGCTTTTGATAGAAGAGCATACACATTCACATTGCTTTGAGCAGTAAGAAAGATATAACATCCATGACTGGCTTCCACAAAAGCTGTCAAAAGAACGGTGATGGGTTGCTTGTGAACTCAGTACTCGGAGTCAGTCTATAGGAGAATTGCTTTTAATGTGTCTGAGAACATCCTAGCAACAACTGGATGTGTTGTGTGCAGCAAGTCCGGTCTGCACACAATGTGGGGGAGAGTCTGTTGATTCACACACGCCTCAACTCTCAACTGTGTTCAAGGCCAAAGATGCACAAACCCAAAATGTTTACTTAAGGTGGGTGGGCTTCAGCATCAAGGCTCTCTTAACTTTCATGTCATACATGCAGCTACAAAAATAATCCTTTGATGCTGTTCTGTGGGGCAGCATCAACTGTGTGCTGGTCATTTTTGAATGCTACATGTCTACTAGTTGTGAACAGCTCCAACAGTCATGCTTCCCTGACTTTAGTATATATTAAAAAAAAAAAAAAAAATTGGCACATTTGTGTTTGTCTTCTCCATTGGCTGTAGTTGCTCTTACCTGTTTTAATCAGCCTGTGCTGATTAAATGGGTGCAATCTCTAGTTGCATAAACATGACCTAGCCTCAGGTTGTTGGCGTTACCAATCACACTCTTTTTTCTGGGTGAAAAGCATGGGCCCAGAGGAATTCATGCAAAACCTGCATGCATTGTTCTGGCGACCATCTATGTTTTCCAGCCTTTTAGCTATCTCTGGCATGAGGAGTGGTTCAGAAGCTGTGGAAAACATAATTCCTCCCCTCTGTCAGTGGTCTTGATGTACTGGCTGGTTCAACATGACCTGATTTGGAGACTGAGTTTCCCAGTGGGTGTGCAAGCCTAAACAATGAATTCTGAACTTCCTGGTCCAAGTCTGTCTGAAGTGGCTAATTATAACCTGATTCACAGGTGCAGTAATGAGCTGTCATTAACCTGATGATTCGTAAAGGTCAAGGTCTTCATGGGGAAGGAGTAACAGGCAGATGGCAAGTAAGACATTGCCAAAAAAATGAAAGAAAAAAGCACCGAGAAGGGCTAAAGCCAAACCATCATGTGCTCCTGATGGAGCCCAGTGAGGCTGCTATCCAGAACTGCTTCTTGATGAGATTTTTTTGAATTTTTTCCCAAGAAACGCTGGGAGTAATGATGTGCTGCTTCTGAAAATATATCCCAGCATGTCAAAGGAAGACCCAGCCTGACAGCTCTGACAGCTGGCAGTGGTGGAATCCCGTCTCGGCTCTGTCACTGGAGCCATTTGGGTGTGACACCCCGCCAGTGCATTCACACGACTGGAGCAGATAGAGTAACTGGCTCCTGCCTGTGTGAACCTGCTTGTGAACGACCACCTCCTTTCTTTCAAAATGTGTCTTTAGCTTCCTTAAAACACGGTGGCAGTGACAGATTGAGGATGAAAATGCTCACCTATATGGTATAACTGTCTGATGTGCTGATAGAGGAAAACAAGACTGCTATATAATGGTTCATACAAATTTGATCATGTTAATTGTTGTCTGTCTTTAGAGAGACAGAGCTGGAAATGGAGGAGATGCAAGGGTCTGGGGGAAGGAGTAAGGAGAGGAGGAGGTTTTAGGTGGTTTGTATAGAAACTGAGAAAAAATAGCACAGAAACCAAACTTAAAGTTTAGCTAGAAAAAATAAACTGGTGGAATTTCAGGTGGCTTTTGAAAAGGAGAGTTGCTGCAAACACATAAACCATGTGGAAAAGTCCTGAAGAGGTGTGAAAAGAAGTGGCCTTGAAAGCTGAAGCCATTGAATTCAGCTACTGCACGTTGATAAATGTCCAGTTATAATTCTAAATCAGTAAATTATTTCTAAATGTTCCTTTTAGAAATGAACGAGGATGTGGAAAGCTCATTAACTGTGCTTAGGAAGGAAGGGAGGTAATTAATTCTGTAGTTTCTCCATCATACTTGTTCAGACTGTACAAATTCATAATGGCCTTTTCTGTGTGCAGAGTACAGCGAGATCTTCTATATATCCATCTATATTGCTGCCATCGGCCCAGTACAGTCTGGGATCTGTACTGCTTGTCTTCCCGCTTGCCATTTGCTGACGAGCATCCCACTCGGTTCCCTTCCTGAGGAGCAAAAGATGAAGGGAAGCTTTGAAAGCACCTATATTGTCTGATAAATGAGTGATAATGAAATTGCACGACTGACATGTTTTTGATTTCAAGCAGTAATCTTTTGAGTCATACAACTCCCTGTCAAGTAAAGCTTGCTGCGGCTGGTGTTATATTGTCAAAGCTGCTGCTTCATTAGAGAAATCTTTCTGTAGGATATCTACATTGATGGCTGAAGACTTTTGGACTGAAGCCTGAAGTGTTCTCAAGACAGGTTGGCAGTTGGAGGCTGTGGATAGTGCAACTATAATTTGAAGCCTTGCACATGTGCAGAATGGCAAAAGCATTTGTGTTTTCCAAAATCTGTTCACTTTTAATGCATAAGAATATTATTCTTGACTCATTTTGAAAGATGAGACCAATGATGCCTGCTACTTGCCATTTATTTTTAGAACATTTTTGTCGCAGTTTTTCAGACCCTTATTTAAATTTTGCAAGTTTTTAGAAAGATGTTTTAAATTGGTTGGTATCTGTGCATTTCAAGAGCTTACAACATAACATTTTAAATAGTTCTTGACACCTGTACCTCTCATTGTGAAGATGAGTGGTGGCTGACTCTAGTAACGATGGCAGAATTCAAGTTTCATGCATTAAACTGTGGTTTTATTCTACTGCTGTGGTTATCAACTTATGATACAGAATCCCTTTTCATTTATTACTGTGCAAAAAGTTGGGGCTCTGAAGAGTTTTCCTGGCAGGCATAGCAGTGAATAGGCAACACAAGGACCTAAGTAATGTAACAAATTTGATACTAAATTATTTAGTAGTTGTAAGATGAAATTGAGCTGTTGGTGACAGGAAATGGCTAAACCACACTTCTTCCAGTGGATGGTATTTCCCTGGATCCTAAATGCAACGTGCAATGAATATTTTAAATCTTACAAAAGGGCATAAGTTTGGTTTTCTCTTGGCATGGTTGTATTATCTCAAGCTATGGAAACCATGGAGATTCTGGTCCTCCCTTTACCTAAAAGGGAAAAAATTCTTCATCTATAGCATTTCATGTTGTTTCCGTTTTCTTTGTAGGACGGAAGAGGTGCCTGCCCCTCAGCAACCTGCAAAGCCACAGACACAAGCCAACGGAACAGGTAATCTTGGCCAGATCTCTACTAGCATTTTGATTGTCAGACTTTTTTTACCCCTTTTGTTTGATCTTTAGAAGATCAAATCTTGCTGGGTCCTTAAGCAGGCTTCTGAAGAAGGCAAATATGAAAGACCGTTTGAGCAGCTTCTTGTGTCTCTGTACATGATTCTTCATTTCCTTTTTGTAGTTGACTTTGCACGCCTGAGCAAGGAATTTATTTTGTATTGTACAAAATTGTAAAAGCCTTTAGGAATGTAGTGAAACTTGTTGCCTGACTTCATCATTCTTGCATGCCCTGCTGATCCTTGACTTACAGAAAACAGGTGTAATATGTAGGAAAGATGTTCTATTTTGTTGTAAACTGCAAAAGCTCTTTTATGCCGTTAGCCAAAAGACATTCTGGAGAAAGAATAAGCTTAAGAGTTACTCACTTTTTTGGACACCTCCACCCATTTCTCAAGCTGGAGCTTATTATGAATTCAATAATAATGTGATTTCTGAACGAACTAAGGCAACAAGCAGATTCTCCATCTTTCAGTACACTTAAGCTTTCCTCCCCACACCTCTTGATTGAGACAACCACTCAGGCCTTTAATATGCAGATTAAATTTGAAGTTGCTCCTCCTGTACTCCTATAATGTCAATACTTTCTGTTATGTGAACTACAGCCAGCCATTTTATTTCCATCTTGTATGCTCAAAATTTCTTAGTACTATCTGAAGTATTAGTATGTGGGAAGCTACTTCATATTTTTTTTATTTTAAATGTAAGTGTTGTCTCAGCTGTAAACTGCCACTAAATTCCTTGTTTTTCTGGGTATCACTGCCATTCATTAATAAACGGTTTGATTCTATTTTCTGAGCACCTGTTGCTTTTTCTCATATGCTTAAAAGCATCATTCTGCCTGTTGTAGTTGGCTGATTGATCTTTCATGCCTTTGTTTAATCATATCTTAATTTCATGGAGTTCTGTACTAAGTTTGGTCCTGGAATAGTTGTGACATTGTGACACTGCTGTATTGACTTGCCTTTCCAAAGAATAGTCAGTCTATTCCTTCTAGACAGTGATTTTCTGAATTACAGGTAAAGCAAAAGGTCATTGTTTTGTTCTCACCTGCGCTGCCTTAAGGCTTTAACCCTTACATTATTTCCATATACCCATATGTTTATGTTATATTTTTCCACTGAAACTGACATGCAGGCAGTATGCATTGCTTCATTACTTTGCCATATAAGACTTTCTAGGCGGTATTATGACTATATATTCCATTTATAGAAAGTGACATATACAGCATAGTTTCTGTAGCCTGGCTTTAGAAAAAGAAAGTGCATGTGTTATATGTATGTATGTATGTGTATCTATCTATCTATCTATATGTGTGCACACACACACAATCTTTATAGCCTTAAATGGTTGGAAAGTGGTAGTAAAAATGCCTCTGGCAGAATCTTGCTTAAGTTTCCACCTCCCTTTCCTGTCAAATTTGTGTGGCTGCAAGGTGGTTGTCCTGCACACTGCTCAGGAGTGTTTTGCTTTACACTTGCTTTTCTCAAGGTGACCCTTCAGCACAATAGGAGCACTGAGATTTACGTCAGTCTTTTGTTTACAGGAACCTTTTAACCAGAAAAATGTTTTTGCAGTGTTTGCTAAAAATTCCTGTTAGGATGTTTAAGTAATCTCTGTACTTCTGATAATAAGATGCTTCCATGTGCTGTACTTAGAACAAAGTGGGAGTCACCTTCAAGCTTATTTTACCAGCTTAGTGCAGTCAGGGTTTCTGTGCAATGGCAGAAGTAAGCTGCATAGTGAGTTCCCGTGAAGAACGTTGGTGAAGGACAGGAAAGCTGTGCAAAGTCAGCTTCCCAATGAAGCATGGTGTGCGGGAGCGGGGGCAGGCTTTGTATGAAGATGTCTTCTACTGTTATCCTGATAATTAGCACTTCTTTTTTCTAGATAAGCGTAGTCACACAGTCTGTTCAAGACTCCAGAAGTGGTTTTGTGATAGATTTGGGGAGTATGTTGAGGACTTCAGATTTCAGCCGGAAGAGAATACAGTGGAAACAGAAGAGCCACTTAGTGCTAGAAGGTAAATCTTTAACTTGATTGTGAGAGCCAAATTGTTGGCTTCTTTACAAGTTGCTTTTTAAAAATATTTTCTTTTTTTTTACAACTTTTACATGGTTGAGCGAGTGTGTGCATAACAAGTAATAAAGCTGAAAGTACAGAACCATCTCAAAAAGTTTGTGAATCCTTTGGCCAAAACATGAAATCTGAAGTTTATCTGCTGTCTGAGGTAGAATAAGAGTTATGTTATTTGCCAGGTGGTGTCATATGCCTCTTGAAAACTGCAGACAAAGTCTTAGTTAAGCTGGACAGCTCTTACATTTCAGTTTTTGGTCTGATGCAAGGTAGGCTGTAGTAGTTACTAGAAACGCATTTCATAACAGGTAATAATGAAGTTTATGCACGAACATCTAATTTATAACTGTGAACAGTATTTCAGGGACTAAATGTACACAGCTGTGCTCTACTTGCCTATTTAACGAGTTGCTTTTATCCATTATTTTTCAGGTTGACTGAAAATATGAGAAGATTAAGTAAGTACTTAGCAGTATTATATTTTTTGGAAGTAAAAATAGATCTTAATAACTCTATTGGGAGGATTGCTGTATTTTAAAATACAGTGTTTTGAAATACTTCTGCCAGTTCATAAGCAGAAATTATTCTGAAATCCTGAATTAGTGTTTGGAATGCAAAGTAACTTAGAGGAGCACTGGTAGAAGCTTGTCTTTGAATTGAATCTTGAATTACATAGGGTATCTCTGAACCAAAAATGTAATGTTAATTAAAATGTGTGAACATGTAATGAATGAGAACAGATTATTTCACAGAATCATTAAGGTTGGAAAGGACCTTTGAGATCATCAAGTCCAAATGCCATTTGTCCAATGGCAAAAGTAGTAGTGTTCATACACTTTTGCCTGAGCTGCTTGTAGTTTGCTTACTAGTCTATCAGCTTATGCTTTTGAAGAAGGAGGGGTTGGATGATGCATACCCTGAGTGTGTCTTGCATTTCTTTCTCTTGGATAGCTGATAAATTATTTTGGAAGGTGGAGGATGCAAGATGGCAAGTTAAACAAAGTAGTTAAGCCCTCCAAAAGTTCTGTGCTAGCCTGAAAAAAAAAAAGGCTGATTTGTGCTCCAAATTGTTAAATTATTGTAGGGCGAGAGGCGAAGTTGAAATAAGGGTCTATAATCTCCACGTAAGGTCAGCTTTGTTCTCCTTATTCTAATACTGGTATTCATTCTGTTTTCATTTGGAAGAATACTTGTGACCTGTTCTCCATGGTGGATGTTCATTGCCTTCAGAATAGCTTTTAAAAAGGCAGTATTAAACTTAAGCTTTGAGTGGTTCTTAACTTCCACTAGGTGAGCCACAAAACCTAGATCCCTGTTGTCCAGGGGTGCCTGACGATCACCTGGAGCTCCTGAGACCCTTGGTTGCTCTTAAGACCCCTGTTGTCGCCAGCAGTTTCCAGGTGTTGAACTTCCCTGCAGGTTTGGTGTAGGATGGTGGAGCAGCACTTGAGTGTGCCCTTCCACTTACTTCATCTGCTGCTTTGGTTGTGCCACTGATGCTCAAGGAAATCTAGTCCTGGTTGTTTAATTACTTCCCGTAAGAAATGTATGAAGAATAGCTGAATTTCAAGCTAAACAAACTATGACAGCAACTCACAGGCTGTCTTGAGGAAAGCTTTCAAAGTTGTGAGCTGCACTGCAGACAAGGGTGGGTACTCCTGGGGCCCCCTGTGCAAGCAGAGTCTTCAGTCTTCTCGGCAGGGAAGGCAAAACCGGTGTGTTCCAGCAGAGAAAGCAAAAGTCTTCTTCCAGCAGCCCTCTCCTGCTTTCTTGTGTCCCCTAGCTAGTTTGCCCAAGTGGTAAAAGAGCTCAGAGGAATAGGAAGGGTAAAGGACGAGTGTTTTTTAAGGAGCTGAGGCAGAGCTCCTCTTGCTGCCTCTGGCTAGCTGTGGACACCTGCGTGTGGGAGTGACGCCTCTCCTGGCACAGGTTAGTCTCCCATGCAGTGACAGCAAGAGCAAAGGTCTGCAGAGGAGAAAAACGTCTTCAGGTGTTAAGGTCCTCTGTCTCTTGACTTAGGAAGAGTAAGCAGCAAAGTGCTATCAGTGGACAGAAACTGCAGAAACATAGCCAAGAAAGATCTATCCTGGTTTTAAGCTAGCTTGGTTATGGTCAAGCAGCAGCAAGTTGTTCCTTAGTGGCTTGGAGTCCAGTCAGGTTGATTTACCTTGTTTTACAGTGGGATGAACTGACCTGTGCGGAGGTCTTCAGGGTAGTATGAACAGGGCTCAGAACAGACTGCTGTCAGCATCCAGGGTACCCATGTAAAGGATATTGTGGAGTTTTAAATTTTTTTTCCCATTCACTTAGTTTAGACACAACCTTTGTCTTGAATAACACTTGTTTTTGAAAAAACATTCCTTAACTAATTGTTCAGTTACATTGATGGGTTTCATTTTTCTTAATTTGGATAAGCCTTTTTATCATTACATGTCTTGAATGTTCCTGTTAATTTTCTAATTTGATTGTTTGTCAGTTACAAGTTATTTAACCACTGCCAGCTAATTCTAACAGTTGTGTTTTTTCTCCACTTCTATTTAGAGAGAGGTGCCAAACCTGTTACTAATTTTGTGAAGAATCTTTCTGCCTTATCAGACTGGTATTCTATCTACACTTCTGCTATTGCCTTTATTGTAAGTTATCCTATTCCTCTAGGAGTATTAAGAACTTTTAAAATTTATTATTTACTGAAATTCATTGAACCTGCCATATCTGAGTAGGGGTTGTGCTACAGTTTAAGTCAAATCAAAAAGTTTATCACAAAATACCAGTAGTTGTCACTTCAGTTACATCTCACAGCCACTTAAATTGTATATTCTGGGTTTATTGTAGCATGGTTTTGTAACTGATAAAGTAACTTACAACAATCTGGGCATTGTTGTCTCACCTCTTGTTTTCTGTCTTCCAGTCCTGTAATTTGATGGTTACTTCAGCCTCTGCAAAACCTCTTCTTGTCTAGGGCTGAAATGCTGATAGCAGCTATGTTTGATAAGAAGCTATCACTCACCATCAGTGCACTTTGTCATTCGTTAGGATCATACTTACTGATGAGAGACAAAATGCCTTGATTTGTCATCATTTGCATCATTTAATGTGGAAACATGGAGTATGTGAGCTAAATTCAAGCATTCCCATGCTATGTAAGGAGGTTTGCATGCCACAAAGTGACATAACTATTTAGTGGAGTTTTGATTTGTTTTCCTGCTAATTGTTAATTATCTAAATTGTTTTGGTCACGGTGTATATAAAATATTTTGATATCGAAGGAAGTTATTATCGGTAGTTGTAGCTGAATGAACCTGTTTGGTGAAAATGTCACATACCTTTTCATTAAACGGTCCCTCCCTGTAAGTTATAGAGCCCAATTTGATGCTACTTTGCACGGCACAGCTGAAGGAATATTGAGGAGGAGACTTTCCCTGCCTGGTGTCTTCTGTCTGTCCGTTCTCCTAATCCACTGATTTTTCTCTCACCCCTCCTGACAAACCCATTCTTCAGATAAAAGCTGAAAGAAGGAACTTCAGCTGTTCAGAAAGCTCTGGGACCTTGGAGCCAGAGCGATGCTTCATTTTGGGGTTATCAGTAAAAAGCCTAACGTCTCTCGGCAGGGAGGTTGTAGTCTCTGTATTTTCAGAAGCTGGGAAAGGGACAGGATACCTTTTGAAGCACTTCATGTTTGTACTTGTTAGGTAAAATAAAACCTGTTTTCCTGCAATCTTTTTAAGCTTGGTAAAAACATGGGATTTAATTGACCTGAAATAATAGAGCGAGAGTTTATCCTGTTGCCCTGTATGGGGCTAATTGTTACAACTTTTCTACTACACCATTGCTTCAACTGCCCTGGGTGAGGTTAGACCACATCATGGTCGCGTAGCAGATTCACAGACTTCAGGGTTTACTTTTTCTTGTTCCTACCCCTTCATGTAATTGCAGTGTTGGAAATACTCAATACTCCCTCTCAAGCAGGTGAGAACTAGTTAAGTGTCATCTCCGGAGATTTGATTCAATCTTAGTTTTGACTTTACATTCCTGGATGTGTTGTCAGTCATGGTGTGGCTAAAACATTAATTTTTGTGATCTGAATTGCATGATTCTGAACCCAATAATACAGTGGGAAATTACACTTCATGCAACTCACTGTACCCCAATTTATAATCCACATCTCTTTTTTCTTTTTTTTCCTTTTCTTTTTTGTTCTTCTTAATCTGCAGATATACATGAATGCTGTATGGCATGGCTGGGCCATTCCTATGTTCTTATTTTTAGCAATTTTGAGGTTGTCCCTAAATTACCTCATAGCCAGGTATTTACTTAAATACTATATTATTCTGTTGTAACGCTTTGCTTGAAAGGTGTTTTATTATTCTTGCATTGAGTTGTAAACTGTTATTTTTTCTAACATTGTGAGTTAAGTCTAACAAAGTGAAATTCAGACTCTAATATCCTTAATTTCATTGCTCAATTTCTATAATTTTTGACTATTCTGAGGAATTATCTTTGTATGCCGTGACTTAGGTCATCATAAATGATGCTGCAGGTTCTCAGACAAATCCCTCAGCATGTTAAAATTCTAAAGTAAAATTCTGCAGCATTCAGAGTAGTTGCAGAATGTCACCTTAAATATTGAAGCCTGCTGCTTTCCCCTGGAGAGAATTTTCACCTAGGCCTAAAATTGCAGTTTTTCCTTTATCAGTAGCTCTTGACATACTTTATCCAAAGCATCTTCCATTTTTAAATCAAGTCTCTATTAAAAATTAAGACTTTTTTTAAAATCTACATTTTATGTACTGAGAGAATCTCTTTGAAATTATGTTTTGGGCTGATGGTGTTTTCCCCCTTAAAATGGTGGAGAGAACATTAATGTGTGTATTTTAAAATAATTTTCAGACTTCTTAACTGATACTTACTGTCTGAGACTCTATTGTTTGAAAATTGCTGTTAGCAAATAGGGTTCTGAATAAGTTGACATAATTTTGTTCACATGAAAAAACAAGAAAAAAATATTTACTCTGCGCACACAGTTCACTTTTGTAAAACCCACAAGAAGTGATTCTGTGTAGTATCTACCTAGCTAGTATTTTTTTTTTAAATTTATATACATTTAAAACTGTCTATGGTTGGTCAGTTGTGCTTTTCTTATGCTGTGGGTTCTTCATTAATTTGGGGGTTATTTTACTGATCTTTGAAGCTATAGTGCTTATTGCAGAAAATTGCTTTTTAACCTCTTACAAACAATCCGTGTTGGCAGGTGGAGAAGAAGTACTTGCTCTCTTTAACTATTTCCATAACTTCCATAGGGGTTGGAGAATACAGTGGAGCATTGTGCCTGAAGTTTCTGAACCCGTGGTAGGTCTTCGATTGGTTTGACCTTATGCCTGTGTTAAAAGTTGCACCTTTAAAACCTTCCTCTATGTTTATGTGGGTAGTTGTGAAAGGAAGGAAGAGTAAGGTGCAAATAAAGACACTACAACTTTTTTCTTTTTCTTGCAATTTAGAAATCTTCACTAACAGCACTCTTAGGTTTTGGTGTTTCACCCTAAAATATTCCAAACTTAAATCACATTTCTGGAATCAATGTAAATATGCCAGCTTGGGACAAGTTAGATCCTGTGGGATCTTCAAGAAGCCTTGCATTCTGTTTTCTTTGTAACATTTTGAACTTAATGTTTGCATACCCTGCTTCAAGCAGGAAGGATTTTAAGTGTTAATGTAAGATGGAGCTCTTTGAATTTCAAATATTCCATTAAGAGTTAGTGGTGCCTTGCTTCCAGAATACTTCTGTTACTCTTAAAAGGACAATAATCTATTTAAATAAATAAATTAAAAAGTTTTAGATGTAAAACTTCTAACAAAAATGACATTTCTGGGCTAGACCAGAAATAGGTCAGTTTAAGCATGTGTTCACAGACTGAAAGTCATTGTAACTGTGCTGCTCCAAAGACTTGCTGTGTCTTTCACAGCCTCATATTGGTATGTTTGCATATACCATGGAGGAAAAGCATCAAGAGGTAAAGATAACCATCAGTGAAAGACATCAACAGTAGATGTGAAACAAGGGAGGAACTTGGAAAATTTAGAGACTGTTTAACGTGAGAGGTCTATTGCCAAGAATGTTGAGCGATCACCTTGTCATGAGGAGTTTTGTAAAATACCAATTTCAGCTGAGCTAAAAAGTAATGGTTTGTCTTTTTCTTGCCCCAGGAGCCACCAAAAGAAGACCTGACCGTGTCTGAAAAGTTTCAGCTTGTTCTAGATGTGGCTCAGAAGGCGCAGGTACTGTGCTGCTCTCAGACCTCTCTGGCTGCTTCCTTATAAACAAGGAGGTTTATAGCCTGCGTGGTCAAAGGACGTTCTTATGCAGCATATGAAAAAAACCACTCAAACAAGCAGTATTTTTCTTGCATAGGAATCTTTACCTACGAGCAATACAGATCTCAGTAAGATTCCTGGAGCTTCTGAAATGACACAATGCTTCAGAGAACTGGTTGAGGTTCTCCAGCCACAGCTCTGAGCGAGGTCTGGAGGGGAACAGAAGCGGTTTCTGACAGTTTTTCCCCACTTGAGCTTCTGATAATGTAGATCAGGTGGCGAATCTTATTGGTGTGCTGGAGTGTGGATCCATACACCAAATCTGCTAGTTGCAAAACTGGTGTAGGAGACCCTATTCCTTCAGGATTTAGCTGAGGCTACTGTCTGTTTAGTTGTATTATTTAGTTTGTACAGAAACAGCCTGCTTTAAACACTACCCCTACCCCTGCCCTGAAATCTGCTGCTTGTGTGGGAGAGGGTGAAGGAAGGTTTTCTCCCAGCTCCATCAGTTTGATGAGCTACCCTAGCAGCTGAGTGACTCCACCATCCAGTTGAATTGCCACCTTGTGCTGTGTCTAACAACGTGCCGATGCTAAAGTCGCTTACCTTTCTCTTGCCAGCTGTGTACACTCATCTTCCTTCTGGTGGTGGTGCATATGTTTATACGAACACCTTCAGAAATTTATTGGGAAGATGAAATTTACAGGTGCTGTGACAATAGGGATTGGTCAGAGAAGATGGATGAAAAACCCTCTTAGTCATGAGCAGGGGTCAGTTTGCATCAACAGTTGCTGGAATTACATGACATCTAGTCACTCCAAGGGTGTTTTTATAATTCTATAAACCTGATAGTGGTGTTTTTCCAAAGAAGCTGACAGTCCAACACCTGCTGAACTCAGTAACCATTTCCTGAAATTTCAGTGCTCAAAATGTGTGAAGAAACTTCCAATTTTGTTACCTACTGACAGAAACTCTTAACTTTTCAATTGACAGCTTAATTTAAAGTTTTTGCAGTGATATAAACACTTTCCAGGAATGACAGTGGCATCAAATAGCTTCTTCACTTCTAACAATCAATCATGAGTTATGGAGCAAGGTGTTAAATGAGATGGAAGTCATCGAGTATTACTGTTCTGTTTTGTATATACTCAGTTGTGAAGTACATAAACAGCTAAAAATGAGTTAAAAAAAATCATGTCTGGGAATTGCTTATTACCAACAGGGTAAGATGACTCTGTTGGTTTCTATTATGTGGACAAAAAAAATAATAATGCAGGACTTGGTTTTAATTCTTTTGCTTCTTATGCAGAACCTTTTTGGCAAGATGGCAGACATACTGGAAAAAATTAAAAAGTAAGTTATCTGACATGAGTCTTTTTATCCTCTTAAAACAAGACTTGACCAATGTCTGGAATGCTAGTAATAAAATTTTGTTTCTTTTTTGTTTTCAGCTTGTTCATGTGGGTCCAGCCAGAAATAACACAGAAGCTCTACATTACTCTATGGGCAGCTTTTATTGCATCCTGCTTTTTGCCCTACAGGATTATTGGGCTTGCAATGGGTAAATGCAATAAATAATTGACCTGTTACAGTCTAGACTTCATAAGTTAAAACTTAGTGTGATCTTTAGAGGGAGAATTTTAGAGTTTAAGAAAGCAAGCCCTGCATTAATAAATAATGCAAGTGTTTTAAAGTATTTTCATTGTGCGTGGCATCGTTTGTCATGTGCATTTTGAAAACCGTCCTTGAATACATAACATAATAGAAAAAGACTGGATAATGCATTAGCTCCTTGAAGAGGAAAAGTTGATGATGATGAGCTGATAGCTAGAGGTCTTCAGACTGTCAGCTATAAGGCTGCCGGGAAGTCCTATATTTTGCATTTTTTCTGCTCATAAATCCTTGCAAATGAAATACGTGGGGACACATAGAAGGCACAAAGATGACAGGGTTGGAAAAAAATGAAAAGGTTAATGGAACTACTTGTAAAACTTGGAGGATAGGCTGGACGAAATGAACAGATTACTGTGGGTGAAGTTGCAGATACTTAAACTCTCAACTGGGAATTGGGAAAAGAGGGTTCTTGCTACAGCATGAGACTGTCTTTTCGCTAAGATATGAAGCCACATCCTGTGACCCAAGAAATTCTCTTTTTTTTTTTCATTAAAGTAACGATATGATCAAACGAGTATTACTTTCAGTGGCACTGAACTTCAAACTGTGTTAGCTTGAACATAAACGCAGGTTTGCTTGAGGTGGCAATTGAATTAGATGTGTGGGGAATTATTTTTTTACTCTCACTCTTAGAAAGAGATCTGAATTGCATTTGGTAAAGTTTTGAGAGAGTATTTCAGGCCCTTTTTAATCTGGCAGAATGCAAGGAAATAGCTAGTGTAAGATAAGAGCGCATACTGGGCTGGAAGATAGAGTTTAATGTAGTACATGAGAGCCCTCTGTTGCCATTTAAATTCATGCAAGATGCTGTGGAGTTTAATGCTCTGGCATGTTTTCTGTTTTGGAAGAATATCATGTTTTCAGAAGGCTTCTGGTAATAAGGAATGTATGTTTGAATTATTTTAATGTTGTTCTGAATATTAAGCTACATAAGTGGTTTAGAAGAACTGGGGATGGGGAGGAAGGAATCTGGGCAGGGTAGGAAAAGAAAAATAATTTCCTGCCTTTGGAAGAAGAATAAAAATATTAAAACCAAGAGAATAGTTTAGCACTGTGACTGAAGATACTTACAGAATTTGGTTTCCTTCATGAACTTGTTAAAACATGATCAAAACAGTGATGTTGTTAATGCCCCTTCAACATGTATACTAAAGTGACCTTTTTTCAGGACTCTATGCTGGAATCAAATTTTTCCTTATTGATTTTATCTTCAAACGATGCCCCAGACTAAGAGCTAAGTATGATACACCTTATATCATCTGGACAAGTCTCCCGACAGATCCTCAGCTCAAAGAAAGGTCTAATGCTACAGTGTCGAGACGGGTAAGGCTAATAAATCTTTTTGCCCCTCTGTTCCCAACAACTGAAAATCGGATCCCTTTCTCCCTTCCCCTTTTCCCCAGTGACTAGAGCACATTAAAGGGAAGATTAATTAATCCTAACCATCAATGTTAGTTCTTTTTTATTATTGTTTTCAAGATCCACAGAGTTTATATACGGATTCTGTTTCTTGTATGAAAGGAATCTATTATCATAATGTGCATATAAACATATATCTCTCATCTCTCTCTCTCTCTCTCTCGGAAATTGTATGACGCTAAATGCACAAAAATAACAACGTCCGTATCAATTTCTGTAACATACGTTCTGTGTGATTTTATTGTCAAAATTTAGTCTTTTTGTATTCCCTTTCTCTGTTCTCAGACATTCTTTTTCAGTGGAATTTCAGCTGCTTGTGTAGATTGAAGAACAGCTAGTTAAAAAAAAAAAGGCTTGAGTATAATATGCAGCTTACTAATGGAATAAGCATTAACAGAGGTAATAAAGTAGTTTACAGATTTAGCCCTTATGTCTTATGGCTATTTGTATTAGATGACCCTTTAGTGTAGTGGTGACAAATGGCTTTTCACCATGTTGGCCCTCCCAACAGTAAATTTTTCTTTTGTTAAAATCTCATAGTTAAATCTTTAAGTGTTGCGTTTTGTGCATCTTTGCAAATTGTTTTGGGGCCTGACATGATAACCGAGAAGCAAGTCATGCTTTTCCATATCCCTGAATTTGTCATTGTTTATTAGTTTAATAAAAAAAAAGTTGTCATAAAACTTAAGTGTAATCCCATTTTAGCATTTGCTTAATGCCTCTTACCACAGTATCTAATTACATTCATGGAGTATCTGAGCACTGTCATAAGCTCCCTGACTAAAACGTACAGCACTTAGCAGTAATTCAGCCTGGGTACAGAACTGGAGAGCAAAAGGGATAAACACAGGGTTGTTAACCAGTGAAGAAGAAGAAATACAGGGTTCTGGGGGAGATGGAGCAGTTAGCGGTAAAATGTTAACTGCAGCATAATCTGAGTATTTCAGAAGGAAGTAGAAGAAAAAGACAGTCTCTGACAGAAAATGAGTGTTTTGCTCCTGTTTTCCAAGGGATGAGAGGGGTGAATGAGCGCTTAGATGGAGCCATCCATAATATGTATTTCTCTTGCTTGCAGAAGATGGGCTTACAAGTTTCTGTGCCTCTTGGGCTTACATGTTATCATTCATATACTGTGGTGGTTGTGGCAGCTTCTTTCTGGGTCTCTAATCTGCCTTAGAGGTGGAAAAGCTCTGAACTGCTGAACTTGAATCCATAAATTTAGAGAGTAATTATCCCTTCTGACTTTTCCTTATGGCTTAAGTTTTGACAAGTAGACCAGGGTTTTAGTACTACTGTGCCTGACCTGATGGGCTTGGCTTGTTTCCCTGGAAAGGATTTGCAGAACTGCATTATCTGTTTCAAAATGTCTTTGAAAATATTAACTTGGTCTCAATAATTTTAGACAAACTTTCTTACACCTTGAGAGATTTCTGGGAACCTTGTACTATTAAAAAAATAGATTTTTGTACAAAAAGGTAGAAACAAAATGGGGTTTTGTTTGTTTGTTTTTTCTTCATAGAAAAAGCAGAGCCCAAAAGCATGTAGTGCCAGCATATATGCATTTGCTTTAGCTTCTTATCACTCAACAGCATACGACGCACTGTAACCTAGGCATGAGGCAATATTCATTGTCTATACCACCATACTGACCCCATGTCCTTAGAGAACAACCCTGACAACAGTATCTGATGCGTAAAGGTTGTATGTCAAAAGCTGATGATAGGTTAAACAAAAAGGAATACCTCTGGGTATTCCTACCTCCAGGTTGTTGGTGATGTTTTTAGACAGTCAGGACTTTTCCAGCATTACAAATCCAATCACTTCCAGTTAGATTTAAGGCTTATCAAAAATGGATGCAATGCTTTTCTTCTAGTAATTGACCATAGGTTGTCTGAATCCTGGGTGGTTATGGATAAATTAGCTGCTTCTTTTAAGGGTAGAGGAAACATTTGCCTGGTTTAGGAAGGACTAGAAGTAAGGGTGGAACTTTCTCACATCTTCAGCCGCCGGACGGGATGTCGTCCTGAAGTCTAAACACCTTTTTTAAATCTCTTTATATAAGGGGTGGGTAGGAAGCAGTGTAGCAGAGAGCAGGAATAATCCTCACTCCAATGCAAAAAGCATTAGACTTCTTGCCCTGACCTTTTGTATGTTTTGGACCATGGAGCTTCACCTCGTTACGTGCGTATATGGAGCCAAATAACCTGTCACAAAGCCTTCCAAAAATTCATGGGATCTTTACTGTCACAGAAATTGTTGGAGAAGCTATTCTTTCTTGATCATTGCTAAGGGCACAGTAGAGGGGCAGTAACTGAAGCAACAGTACAATTCTCATCAACCATTTTCTTTCCATGTCAACTTTCTTTATTCTTTTCCCCCGAGGCATCGTTGTATTACAGTTACCCTAAAACCTGGATGGTAAATACCCTCTGTCATGCCTGTTTTGTCAGTCTGGTTTCCAGTCAGCGATTGCAGCGTGCGTTTTTTCATTTGCTTTGGATTTCTTTTGTTAGCGCTAAATCCCGCAAAGTGGCAAGTGCTGCCAACTTACATGCAAAAAAAAGCAGCAGAGCCTGGTTGGCCTCCAACAGCATTGGGCGTTTACAGAAGAAGGGCTTAGTCCTGAGCTTGCATGTTGTCAGTTTGCCAGTTGTTTAACTGCATGTCTATAGTAGGACTAAGAACGGAGCTGTCACTGCTTTGATGAGAGAAGTCAACCTTTGGAATCGTGTGGTGCCCCACCAAGATGAAAAAGCAAACGCCAGCAAGCTTTCAAAAAGAAACTGCCTGCCGTCCTTCTGGAAGCAAGGCTTGTTTGCTAGGGCAGTCTCCAGTGGTTCAGGAGCTCTGTTTAAAAGTAGATTTTACTCGAGTACTTTGTTTCTGAGAACGCCATGCTACCTTTCCCCCCCCACTAAGGATGCTGACAGCCATTCTGATTTTAATTCACATGTCAACATTCTGAAAATTCAGTGCATCTTCAAAGCAAAGAAAAGATCAATGGCTCTAACACAACCTGAATAAATTGAACTGGTGTGCTCTAACCACTGATAACTCTTCTTTTTTTAATTGCATTCATTGTGTGTGGTCTCTTGGTTTGTGAGCGAGATCTTGCAGCTTCACTCAGTTTATGTTTTATTCTATGTATTATGCTGTTAAAGAGACTTCACTTTTTTCTTTTGTCACTGTCACATTTGTGTTGTTTGTTTCTTTTCCTGCTAGCTGTCAGGGCATGAAAAGGTATGGATCGTAGCGTGGAAAACTGCCTTTCAGTTTCAGCATATGTGTTCCTAATGAGCTGATGCACTTTTGTGTGGCTTTTTCTTCGTTTGCTGTTTTTTATTTCTAAACTTATTTTGTGCAATAATATTTTGTGCTTGGTCTGTCTCTTGAAGACAAACCACGTATTGATAATATAGTAACTGTTATTAGTCCTACTAGTATAATTGGAGTTGTGTGCAGTGACTTGGCTGTATCTAATCAGATATACCCTTTATCATAGAAAAATGGTGTTTTAAGATAGGTACGTCTAGCACCATGTGCTTTCACCCTTGCAAAGGGTGTCCATCAAAGGGCAGCCCTTTGAAAGGTGATCTTCAGATAGCACATTAGAGCTTTGTGCTATAGCAATAGTATAGTGCAGTAGTCCAAAGTTAATTTATTGAAGTAGTTACTGATTTTTTGTTTTAGGAAGAATACTTAGCCAAGTTATTTTTAAGAGTGCAGCTTAAATGTTGCTCTTCAAATTTTGGAACTGTGTTTATTTTCCTGCAGCTTCAAACAGCAGCATCCAGAAGTTATGTGGGCTCAAGTGCCCCAACTGGAATAAGCAAAGATGAAGACACAAGTCGTTTTCATACCACCAAGAGGGGGAATTTCCATGAAGTTTTTAACCTGTCGGAAAATGAGCGTCCTTTGGCAGGTATTATGCAACAGGAAGGCTACATTAGTAGAGTATTTTCTAAAAAGCCATGTATAGTTTGAAGTTGAATTCCCCTTTTTTGTGCAACGTATTGGTATAAGCTTTTGATTAAAGGACTTGCTTTAAATTAGGATGAATGGAAACGGTCTCTCTCATTCCACATCCTTAAAGTTCTTTGAAAGAATGCACAGCCTGGCATGCCTTTGTGGTAATGCAAATGCAGTAGTCTAGTTAAAGGCGATAATTGTGTGGGTGGTTTTTGTTTCGGATTTTTTTTAAAACAGTGTTTTTCAAAACACTTTTTTTGAAGAAGTGTTAAAACAGATGTTATGATGTCTAAAAACATCTTGTTTAGGCTTTTCTTTGTAAATACTTACAGTTTTAGGTATCTAAAGTTTAATTTTCAGTGTTTTGTGCTGTTTTAGAAGGAAACGGTTGTAATGCCTGTCTCTTTCTTAAAGTAAGATTTCTTGTTATGACTTTTTTCAGTGTGTGAAAATGGCTGGCGCTGTTGCTTGATTAACAGAGATAGGAAGATGCCTACAGACTACATCAGGAATGGAGTTCTTTATGTCACAGAAAAGTGAGTCATTGCACTCCACACATTTCTTAGGAGGCAAATGCCACAGACATTAAAAAATTTTAATCTGAAAGTAATCCTTAGCAACGTTTTGAAACAAAAATGCCTTTTCATGGTGTTTTAAAACCTCAAGAAAACACCACAGGAGAAGGAGCGCTGAATCTGGGGTGTGTTAACGCTTGACAAATGTGATTTTGCCCTGGAAAGGCTTGCATAGGAATGGAGAGTAGCTCTGTGTAGTCAGTTGTTAGTAACTTCAGTTCTTGATGTGGATAACGTACTATCTATATATACTAAAAAAGAAACCTAACACCGAAGTGTATTTTGAGAGTTGAGATCAACGGTTATTTGGCAAATACTCTTAGTTTCTTTTTTTAAAGCAAATTTAATATATAGCTTCCTTGAAACAATGTGCAACAAAAAGAAAATAGAAATTCAAGCCTCAGTTTCAAAACTAGTACTTTGTTTTATTCATTTTAATCCTTAGTGACCCCCTCAGCCTCCCAGGGCTGAATAACTATCGTCACTACTGTTTGGGTCTTGCACTGAAATTCCTTTGGAGTGTAATGAATGGAAGTAAAGCTCATCCGTATGCAATGTCACCTAGTGATGGAGACCACTCTCCAGTGTTTAGAAATCTCAGCTTTTGTCTGCATCACAATAATATGAAACTAACACAATGTTTTCCATTAATCTTCTTTTAAGATGGTAAAAGTTTTATAAGCCTTTCGAGATTTCGTATTTCAACTGTTTAAGGATATATGTGCTTCCTGTGTCTTTAAAATCCTTGTCAGGTTTAACCGTTCATTGCAGTAATATAAATAAAAGATTTTTTGTGTGTGCTTGCTGTATGTTCTGGCCTTTCAAGCACATTAGTCAGTTGCTAGAATTTATGAATGTTGTCTTGAAATTAGAAGCCGTAACTGTATTGTGTGCCTCTTTCTTTTTTTTTGAAGCTGATTTTAACCTGTGAGATTTCAACTGGAGAAGTGACAGGAGGCATATTGAAATTTTTGTTTTAGAATACTACTACTACTACTAAAATGAGCATTTTCTTTCCTTGTCTTTAGTTACTTGTGCTTTGAAAGCTCCAAATCCGGCTCATCTAAAAGAAATAAAGTTATAAAGCTAACGGATATAACAGATATTCAGAAGGTATGTCTGTTTTGTGCTGCAAATAGGGGACAAAGCTGGTTTTCTGTTCAGCTAGTCATGTTTTGCTTTTCTGCTTATGTTATTTTGAAAAAGCATGCCACTGATAAATTTTATAAGTAAATGCAATTCTTTAATCAGGAGTATTTCCCAGAAATGATTGTTTAGCCATTTGGACTTGCTCCAGGCAAGCTCACTATGAGCATAAAACCAAAGTAGTTTACTAAACCTTTATACTTCTGAGTTATTTTTAAATTAAAGTTATGTTGTTTCTTAACTCCTGCATTGACTAGAGCTGTGTAGGCTTTAAGAAGATTTCTTCTTTGCATACTAACCTCAGTTTGGGTGTTGATATCAGTAGATGCACCATCTTAAAAGTAGGTCCCTCAGAAGGAAGAGGAATTATTGTCAGTGGAGAAAGGTAAATCATTACAATAGGCAGACTGAATGGGGCTGGAGTTTCATCTAGTTGGGATCTCATCACTAACAGAGGCAAGAAGTGGATGGTTGGAAGCACGGCAAGTAGAGTGTGATCCTTCTTCTGGTCAAGTTTTATCAGCCTGCAGTCACCAGTGGCTTTAGTGGTGCTTTGCATCACTCTATATAGCATTTAATGTCAATTTTTTTTATCCCTTCCTGAACTTGTCCTACTCTTAAATGCAGACACCCCTGCTTTCTACTACGGCCTGTGGCCATGCCACAGATTCAATCATGCTGTGCAAAGAAATAGCTTAGCCTGGTGTCTACTGCTTACGTACCTCCAGATTTTCAAATGAATTCCTTCTATTTATATCACGTGTCTATAAAGCAGACAACTTATGCTCAACTTGAACATTCCCATTGGAATTAATAATTCATATTGTTGGATTTTAAACATCATACTTGAAGTAATGCTGGCTTGTTGTTTAGTAGGTCTTTAGTGCCATAAAGGTCCTTTTGCATCTGTGTAGTTCTTTTCAGTGAAGAGGAGACAGGGATCATGCAGCCAAGCATAAAAATGTACTGTGCCTGGTTTTATTTAAACACAGACCAGACTTAGGGTCTCTACTCCCTTGGGAATATTCCCCAGTTCAGCCAATTGTATTACTTCTTAACATTATGCGGACTTTCTTTAAAAAAAACAAAAAACACCTATACATACCCTTTTTGTGTACTTAATTTTGAAAAAGAAGCTTTTTCTGGTCTGCTTGCTGCTCCTTTAAACAGTGGGTGAATGTTACTTCTAGGGAAACCTCTAGGTGATACTCACAGGCACTCTCTCACGTACGTATATACACATAGGTCTGGGGTGTACTACCTGCCCCCACCATCAGCTGCTGGTGTAATCCCTGCTATCATGGCTGGCCCAGCTCCCATGTGCCATAGTGGTACCAGCATGCTCAGTTTGGGGCTGGGGCTGGTTCCAGCGGGCGGGCTGGGTGCCACGGCATGTGGGGGGAAGAGGAGAGACAGGCTCTTGCTGTAGGAACGATGCTGTGCCCATTGACTCCGGGGTCAAAGAACAGTGTCTGGCCTCTTCTTGTTTGTAACAGAGGTCTGTTAGTTGTGTCAGGGAGGATACACTAGTGACAAGCTGTGTAACTTTCTCAGCACCTTTTGCAGTTGTTCAGTACATAAGATATCTTTCGTCTGTGTTTTTTCTTCTTTTTAGTATAAAGTGCTCTCTGTTCTCCCAGGATCAGGGATGGGTATTGCTGTATCAACACCATCTACACAAAAAGTAAGTACCTAGCTGTATGTGTATTGCTGTGTTTGACTTCATGCCCTTTTTGTCTTCCTTCTCTGGCTAGCACCAGCATAAAAGCTTTTTTTTCCCCCCTCTTTATGCCAGTGTTGACTTTTTTTTTATTTTTTAATTCAGTTGTCTATTATTCAGTATATTTGGCTTCAGAATTGTCATGATTTAAACGTTTAGCTTGTTCTACTGCATCTGGAGTATTTTACTATAACACTTAAGAACGATGTGCTCCATCCTTTCTACTCCATTATTTCATTACCTTCCACTGACCGTTTTCTCAGCATCCTTCATCAGGGAGCATGGGGGCAGCTCTGCTCTGCAGTCTGGAACGAAAGCTGATGGCTTGAGAGTATCTATGGGTGAGGAGGCTTTGGGGTGGAAGGGCCTGACCCTCAGAGGCAGTTTTCCTGTTTCAGTTTTATGCTGCTGAAGATTTCAGCTTCTCTAAGCCTCAAATACCCTTTGAGTGATTGAAACTTTTCTTAATGTATGACCAAACCTTATTTTAAACTAATCACCTATCAATAACTTTTCTCCAAGTCACACGACTGTTGTACCAGGTTTTCTGCTCGTTGTTTGATATTGAGAAGTATGTCTTAATTACGAGGTTGAAAATGTTCATCTACCTAAATAAATACTCTATGAGCCGAAATGAAGAGGCACTAATAAAGAATTTTAGAAAACTTTAATGGAGGTAGAGCTGAATCAGGAAAACATCATGCACTGAGCGGATGGAGAGGAAAGAGAGTTGAAGTGTTCTCTGTTGCTAATACTCTGTGCAGATGCATTTTATGCCATGGTTGTTTTAAGAAGATGGAGAAGTGAAAAAGTCTTAGAAACTTTCCCGTATATCGAGGGATTTAGTATAAAAAAGGATTTTTATGTCTTTATTAATGCACTTTGAGTAGAGTTCATCTCCTGTTCCTATTGATTTGTCCAAAACTATACCTAGAGGAAGATTTTTCTCTTCTGGACTGACATTGATCTTCTTTTCTGTCATTCAGCCTTTGGTGTTTGGTGCCATGGTACACAGAGATGAAGCTTTTGAGACAATTTTCAACCAATATGTGAAAATAACCTCTGCATCATCAAGCAGTGAGAGCTAGTATCTTATCTTAGAAGATCTAAAGGAAACTTTCTTATTTTACAACTTGGTAGTGAAAAAAATGAACATCCTCATCTATTTTGCAATAATTTTTCTTGTCTGGTGGTTTATATTCTATCTGTTACATAAATCAAGTGTATTTTATATATGCCTTCATGTTTGTTTTTAAGGTTTTTGTAAAAAAAAAAAACAAAAACAAAATGAAACAAAACAGTGAAAGTACTATCATCACTATTAGCCTTGCACATTAAGCACTTTTAATGTTTATTTACTGACATTAAAAGCTGGGAAGATACTTGGAGAACTGACTAAATAGTGAAGTGAAACAGATTGATCCCTTTAACTCCACTGATATCACTAGGGATATGTTTGTCCCTTTATCTTTGTTACTTTTCCCCCAGATGTGAGAATGATGACTGCAGCAGCCTGAAGTCTCTTTCTTCCGCTCAGAGTTTTGAATTGGGTTCTTTATTAAAACTGAAGTATTATCATCTTAGTATTTCCATATTTATAACTGCACTTAAAATAACTCCTTCTTGCCAATTCTTGCATTGCAGAAGGATATTTTACCAGTTTGGGTAGGTTCAATTTTTCCTGCGTAGACATTTAAATTGCTTGTACAGTGAATTGGAGGAGAAAGTTTGTAACTATATCTTCCTTTCCTAATGAACCAAAGTAAGAGGAAGGAAGGCAGGCAGATACTTTTTATAAAAGAAGGCACCAAAATGTTGTTCCTAAAATGTTAGGCATCATATATTTGTATTTCTGTAGATACTTGTCATAGAAGGGCTCAACTATCGTACATGTTGTATGTACAAGGTGTTTGTATGTTAATGCATTAAAGACTTGCAGGCTTTTTGTGTTGGGGGAGGTGGGAATAATTAATCTAAACTGAGACATGACTCTCCTTTTTTTTTTTTTTTTTTAATTTGGCTTTTCTCTTGAGTTACCTTGAAATAAAATAACACTATAATGTAGCAGCTGAAAGCATTAGTTCCTTTTCAAAGCATAATTTGAGGGGCATTGATATGTTGCTGTCTTTCCCCTTGCAAAGTTAAATTGTAGTAACAATTAAACCCAACTGCCAGGTAAAACAGGAAGGCTGTGCTCCTCCTCTAAACTCTCTCAGGACTTTCTAGCAGCAAAGCACATACTGACCTTTGTCTTTAATATTAGAAAGCTTTTATACTCTATATAATAGCACCCATCTGAGAGGTTTAGAATTTTATTTGCATTTGCATGAAAGCACAGTAGGAGTTATGCCAAGCCTTCCAGTATGTCTTTTCCTTTGCTGTGTCTTTTGAGTTGACTAGTATGGATGTCTCCAGACATTGTATGAATGTCCCCCCAAAAAACAATGGAGATGCAAATCCTTCTGTAAAAATGGGACTTAATTTCATGGATTTTTTTTTTCCCCTCTTTTTTTTTAAATGGGAATTTTCTTTCTTTATAGGGAAAGGGTAAAATGAAGGAGGGAGAGCAGAGACAAACACCAAAGGGTGTTTAACTCTTAGCACAGTTTTTGATTAAAGTCTCTCAACAAATACAGCAGTAATGAAGAAGGTGGCAGTCAAACTGTACAAACCTTATTTCAGTCTGGCCATGAAGAGATATGATGTGAAGAACTTAATATGAACTTGATATGAAGAAATACTGTTGAATACTGTGATTTGGTTGGGTAATATAAAGTGAAACACTGATGGGGTAAAAAAAACAACCCTCCATTAAATTAATTAATCTCCATTAATTAATTAATCAATCTCCGTTAATCTCCATTAAAAATTTCCACTGCCCTGGGTGGAAACGTGAACAAGAACAGGGGAGAATCCACCATAATGGCTAAAAGGCTATTTTTGAGTTCTCCCTTTTTAGTAGTACTTAAGCATGTCTTTACATGATTTGAAAGGGGGGTGCATTTCTAACACCTTCTTAGGTATGGTGTAACTCAGGGCCTGAAAACTTAAAATATAAGTGAAGCTGGTGGGAAATCCATTTTGCCACCATTTAATATGGATGTAGCTTGACAGTTTATGGTTTCTTTACTTTCACACGTTCAGGTTTTATGTCTAAGTAAAAATCCTTGATCTTTAATTTTTCCTCATCAAAACTACTTTAAAATCAATTAATATCTTTTTGTAGTTGCTGTGTATTACCATTTGGCTTTCCTTTCTAGAAGCTTCCTTGAATAGTAAGTGTGGCTAACAAATAGGCATTAAAATCGCTTAATGTTACATAAATCTTAATCAGATTCATTCATTTTGTCTTAAGAAAAAATCCCTTGGGTGTGTTTAAGGTTATCCTTTTTTTTGAAAAAACAGAAAACTATATTTTTTACAGAGAGCATGCTCTTTTTCTTATTTTTGTATCATTTTTCAAGTGTAATTTATACCTTCACGCTGATCATAACAGCAGTTTCAGTAGGAAATCAGTTGACTTGCACTTATTACCTCCTCCCCTTCCCACCCTTCACTGGTTGACCCTAGTGTATAGGGTTGTCCTAGATTCTGGTTCCTGAAGGAGCTATAGGTCCTATGCTGATGGTACCAGGACAATTAACCATACCTATGCTTCAGAGAGGGAGAAGAGCAATTATTATCCTTTTCCCAGACTGAAATGCTTCATGCGTACAATATGCTCTTAATTTTTTTTTTTTTTAACAAAGAAATTAGAAACTTCTTGTAAAATCTAATGTGTTGATGTTTGAAATTAATCCGCACTTTAACAGTGTGAACGTAAAAATTAGCAATTCTTAAAGCAGTAAACCTAGTGCAAACTGCAATGCAACTTTGTTTCATTCTAATATATAAAAAACAGACTGGATTTTTTTTTTTTTTTTAAATAGAGTTGTAATATAACTGACAAACATCTATGTACATATTTTGCAAAGTTCACTTTACATTGGGTTGTCCAGGTTCCTGCTGTGTAACTGCTCCTGTGGGGTACGTAACATGAGAGACACTAGACGGTAACCTCGGCGTGTTTGCTCACAGGTACTCCTGTGCTTTTCCTCCTGCTACATCCTTACAGGAGTGGAGGGCAGGAGGGGATGGGCAGTGAGTAAATGTATACTTGACTTGTCTGAAGTTCACCTTAAATTCCAATCTTCCTATGTAGTTTTGCAGCGTACCCTGCTGTACTTCAGTAACAGGCTGGGTTGTACCACTCACTTAATGTAAAGTGCTACTTTCTAGTAGCAGAAAGTGATGTTATTGTCATTCTGTCTGTCTGTCTGCTGTTTATATTTGCAATTCTGTTGATGTCCGTGGTTCATTGCTGGATCATTCACGTGTAATTGGATTTAACTTCTTTAGAAGTGCATTGGTTAGTTTGAGTCCCTTTTAAAGAGAAGAAAAAAAAGGGAGATGAAAACTGACTACTTTTATTCTTTATCAGTGACCATTTAAATTCAAAAGGCAAAAGAAGCTGAAATATGAAATCATGCCTTTCTGTGCACTGTAGCTTTTGTGAGGCAAGTTTGAATGAAACAAGTTATTTATTAGTAGCAACATCACACAGGATGCCAGCAGCAAAACCCTACCCTTGTTCCTGCAGACAAAGAGAAAAGAGATTTTACCCAGTCATGAAGAGATGGAAGGATGTACTTTTTTTTGGCTACTTAAACTTGTATTGAAAACACTGGTAGTTTTTATTGAATTCTGTACATTTTGGCAGATGTTTAATTTCTACTAATCATTGAAATATAATGGATGTTAGAATTTTTATGTCTGAAGTTTGAGTCTATATTTTGAAGCTGTAAATAATTCATTATCAGTGTAACTTTTGTTTGACAAAAGACTTATACAGTATGAAGAATTGAAATAATGAAATGATTTGCCCTGTACATTTTTTAAGAAAATCTTGTTTGTTTAAAAAGTCTTGTATAGATGATAATTTTTATTTAAATAAACCTAAAAATGCTTTGTGCTAACACTTTTTACATACTTGAGTAACTTTTCTATCAGAACTACACCTGATTTCTTAAAACAAGGTGAGTTAGTGCTTTTTGGCAGGTTCATCGCCACCTCAAGTCCATCACGGGGCGGGGAGGCACGTGGGTTTTTGTTTCTCACTGCTTTTGAAGCCCAAGGAACATGCTTTTATTTTAAATAATCCTGTTAATGCATTGGTGAGCGTATGAGTATTTTTGGTTAGGTCTTTGTAAGTACATCTGTCATTTTGTAATCATATGGTTAATTTAAGGGATGAAAAAGCAACCGGTGACGTCTAAGATGCTGCCACTGCAGAAGGACATGAGCGACACAGGACTGTTCCTAGGAGTACAAACTCGTATCTGCCAGAGCTCCTCCATGAAAGAACTAGCTGCAGACTGTGCTACAGGTGGGCAGTGGAGGTAAGAGTAAGCCCTTTTCCACCCCAGAGGTATGCAGGAGGTGTGCTCTGCAGAAGCATTTCGCATCCAGATGTGGCTGCTGTTCTTGCAGTGTCTGCAGTCCCTTCAGCTCACGGGTCACACCAGCATGTACCTAGCTGCTGAGCCTTTGGCTGTGCTGCTGTGTAACCTGTAACCCCGCTGGGGATAAATGACAGGGCTTCTTTATCCATGGTGTACGCCAGGGAGGCTCACTGCACAGCACTGGCTTTCACTGGGAACACAGGCCTTTGTCTGCAGCTAGGAACGTAATACCAGGAGTGAGCTGCCTGGTCATCTAATCCAGACCTCTTTCTTTGCCTCTACAATGCTCCATTCTGCAGTTTGCTCAGCTGCAATAGATCAGCCTGTGACAGATCCTCCAGTCGTGAATGCATGCTGCTCTATTTATTTCAATATTTAGTTTTCTCGTGATGGCAGCGACGCATCTCGCAATGCAGTGGTGCTTTTAAGCTGGTATTTTATGTGTTCTGAGAATAACTTAACTTCACACTTGTACTACTTTAATGCCTTTTCATTAAATATTTGTACAAGATGAGCTGCATCTGCAGCAGTACTCGGAGAGATTGGATTCAACCCTGCCTGCCTGAAGCCTTGTGGAGGGAGAGTGTGGAGCCTGGAAGTCTCATTTTGGCCATGAACTGTGTGGCATTTGGGAGGAGGGGACAATCTTCCTGAAAACAGCACTTGCTTTCTCAAGCTTGCTTTAGCAGCCCATGAAAATAATGGAATTGAATTGGGCCGTTTACCTGCTCTCTGCATAACTCTTAACGCCTGTGCAAGGAAAGGAGGCGTGCGGCGGTGG